TCGGGGACTGATAGTCCAGCTACAAGGTTATTGCCGACCTCGGGGACTGATAGTCCAGCTACAAGGTTATTGCCGACCTCGGGGACTGATAGTCCAGCTACAAGGTAACAGCTAACATCGGGGACTGATAGTCCAGCGACAAGGTTAAGGCCGACTTCGGGGACTGATAGTCCAGGTACAAGGTTAAGGCCGACTTCGGGGACTGATAATCCAGGTACAAGGCTACAGCCGACTTCGGGGACTGATAGTCCAGCTACAAGGTTATTGCCGACTTCGGGGACCGATAGTCCAGCTACAATGTTACGGAATCACAAAATACAGAAAGTCAAACAAAGTAAGCATTTAACTGGACCTTTGGCCAATTTTTTATGACTCATCAGCGGTATACTGATGTGAAAATAAAGAAAATTTAGAAACACAGCGGAAGTGGAAAGGTCAACCACCCTGACACGTAAAATAGTCAATAGGAATACAAGGTAAATACAATTATGCTTAAGGAAAAATTGTCCTACCTTATAATTGATGTTCCATACTTAATGATAATTTTGCAAAACTAAATAAAAGGAAATAACACAAAAAAAATCCGAATACATCTTTTTATTCAAAAAATGATAAAAATATTTCCAGTATAAAAATATATGAGATTGCCCATATCAGAGAACTAGGTTAAACGCAAAAACATAATGTTGACGGAGGTGGTGACAAAGTCAATAGACCATGAAAGGTAGACTGCATGCAGCATTTGATGGATGGGTTGAGAGGTACTACCCAGGCGCGTAGCTACCATGTAAGCCAATAAGCCCGGGCTTGCACATGATTTTGACAAGTATAGGTTTTCATGACGTTATTTTTTCTTGTTGATACTATAAAGTGGAGTTTAAGTTTTGAATATATAGTATACATATGTAATTCCTCAGATATGATACATTGTTAATAGTTAGTACAAAATGTATGAAGTTTAGAAATGGACATTGCATTAATGGACAGTTCCAGGCGGAACTAAACTGCTCGATTGAGTAAATTGAGACACTCACGCCTGGCGCAAACGACTCCGAGTATGGCACAGTGGACACAGACAATGTGTTTTTTTTTTATGAAAATATCAATTTGGGGCACGTTTGGTCCCTTTTGCCGGGGCACATTCGGCCACCCCGAATGCAACTGTGTCAAGTGACGTCACTATTGATAACGTCACCCAATTGACCACAAAAATAATATTTTTACGTCGCAAAAATTAAGTATTTTTTTTTCTTTGTATTCACTGATTTGTTCTGGACTTATTTTCCAACAGAGTTCAATGAAATTCCATACACTTATTAGTAAATTGTCTTCTCTGTCCTAGATGCCATACTTGCCCTGGTAGGGGCCGGATTTGCCCCAGGGCGGGGCTCATCCGGCCCCCAACTCTCTCGACCTAAAAAGTCCAATAATTCCCAAACTATGGTCTTGTTTACGATTTGGTTATTAGTTTATGAAAGACAATACATTTCTTTTCTAAACAAAATTTGCATGGGGGAGACACCCCCAGACCCCCCTTACGGGAAGGGGAAGACCCACTCCCGTTACCCCGTTAAAGTGATGATTTTGTTTTTTCTTTCTTCTTTTGCTACTGTCTGTCAGTCGATGTTTTCTATTTAAGTATTTTTGAAACAATCCCTAAAGTCTGACCAACATACTGATATCATCCAAAGATATGTGATAAGTGTTTGATAGTCCGAACAGCACATCACATTGAGTGTATTTGCACTGGGGATAAATGGGGAAGAAGAACATTATGAAAATATAAAAAAACAACTAAATATGAAGATTATTTAAGTAAGTATAAGATATAGCTGTTACACTCGGGGTCCAAAAGACAGATAAGTATAAGGGGGG